TTTCACTATCGTGAATAGTTCTATGGAACCTTCAAAGAATGGGTAATACCTTCTTACTTTCTTATGTTGGAGGATCCACTTTTTAGTAGCAACCACAAAGACAATAAGCATATATTACACACTCTAATCTGGCTCGGATACCAATTGTTGCGGAAGAAGGCTATCGGATAGAGCAAAATCGTAACTGATAATTTGAGAAAATAAATATGAAGATAAATAAGACACAAAATTTACGTGGAAAACCCTTAAATAATATAGGGTAAAAACCACGGGCAACGGTAGAAGAATTTCACTATAAGAAAATAAGAATTACAACCTCTCTCGATCTTCCAAGGAGGAAACAATGATAATTCTCTCTTGATAAAAAGAAGAAAACAACTCTCAAGAAAACTCTTTAAATTCTCTAGTATTGGGAGAAAGCTAGAATAATTTGGGATGGTTTTGAAGCTAAATGAGCTAGGGTATTTATAGTTGAAGCTTAAGGACTAATTTATAAATATCCTAAATTATAATGACTAAAATGAGATTTTACCATTATTGAAAAAATCAACAATTTCTAGCTTCTTTTCGGTGCATTAATTTTGCACCTTTCGGTGATGACTTTTAGCACTGGCATACCTGTTTCCAAACTTCAACAATCCGAGAGGGAGAAACTATTATATTTGGAGGAAGTGTTACATAAACGTGTAGTGGGTCAAGATCCTGCTGTTAGATCCGTAGCTGAGGCCATTCAACGATCTCGAGCTGGTCTCTCAGATCCCCGTCGTCCAATTGCAAGTTTCATGTTTATGGGTCCCACTGGTGTAGGGAAAACTGAACTTGCTAAGGCCCTTGCATCCTACTTGTTTAATACGGAAGAAGCACTTGTTCGCATCGATATGAGTGAGTATATGGAAAAACATGCAGTTTCGAGACTTATCGGTGCTCCACCAGGTTATGTGGGGTATGAAGAAGGGGGCAGCTAACGGAGGCCGTTCTTCGGAGGCCATATGCTGTGATTCTTTTTGATGAGATCGAGAAAGCTCACGGTGATGTATTTAATGCTTTCCTTCAAATTTTGGAAGATGGAAGAGTCACCGATTCACAGGGTCGTACTGTGAGCTTTACCAACACTGTCATCATTATGACTTCGAATGTTGGTTCACAATACATTCTGAACTCCGACGAAGACACACCGAAAGACCTAACTTATGAAACTATTAAGCAAAGGGTGATGGAGGCTGCAAGAGCAGTATTTTGACCCGAGTTCATGAATCGTGTTGCTGAGTATATAGTGTTCTAGCCTTTGGACAGAGAACAAATAAACAGTATAGGGAGATTACAGGTAAGTTCCTTGGTTCCTTACACACCGTTAAGCCGATCATGTCATTTATCTGTGCTTATCCGCCTTTTGTCTCTGTTTACAGTTGGAACGTGTACAAGCTAGAATTGCAGATAGGAAAATAAAACTTCAGGTGACAGACAGTGCTGTTCAGCTTCTTGGAAATCTGGTTTACGATCCGAACTACGGTGCTAGACCAGTCAAGAGAGTGATTCAGCAGAACATCGAGAACGAACTCGCCAAGGGCATATTGCGAGGAGAGTTCAAAGATGAGGATACCATCTTAGTAGACACTGAGCTAACCGCGTTTGCAAACGGCCAACTCCCCCAGCAAAAGTTGATCTTCAAGAAGCTCGACAATGATTCAAATACACAATCAACCGGCACCGAAGAAGCTTTATCGTCAACTGTCTGAAAGTTGAACAGACTCGACATCAATTTGGAACCGAAAGTTAAGAAGCTTTATCAATTACCTGTCCAAAAGTTGGTATTCATGTTTTTGCGTGAAGTCCAAGTATTAAACAATTTTGCATGCATTGTATATGATTCCAGATTTAAGTCAGGAATAAACAGTTATTCATCTTTTCTAGGGGCGGCTTATATAAAATGTTTTAATTATGTTTTAAGCCCCTCTTGAAAATAAGTAATGCAATTAAGTTTTTTTAGCACAAGTTTTTTTTTTAAATGTTTTAAACCACTACTTAAACAGCCATAAAACCACCGACAATAAACAGTATCTCTGCTTTGGTTGCATGAATGATACTGCAATCCAAATCCATCTGATATTATGACAAAAGAAGCTGGATTCCTTAGCAATTCTCCCATAACTAAACACTATATGATACCAATAAATGAACCAAATAATAAAAACCCTCAATTATAATAGCGTAGATAAACCAACTGTGACTTAAATTACAAGCGTCTATTTAACCAGTAGATCCTTATTAGTTCTTCCAAGAAAGTATGCTAGTTGGCACAAACACAGAAAAAAAATTACAACTTTGAGGCTTAAATAAACAAACGGAAAAGGCCCAAATCGAGCTAGAAGCTTGAAACCATAAACAAAAACCAGTTGAAATGAAACACAGGTTACCTGTAAAGTTCTATGGGATTCTAAAGATCACAATTGAGTGCAGTTTTCTCAACGTTAAAAGATAGGGTAAATTTCAAGTTTAGCACATAAACTATTACTTTTGTTCTATTTTCGTATTTAAACTTTATTTTTGTTTTTCAAAAACATACCAAACACTTAGTTTTGATTTTATTTTGGTTACAAGCTGTTAAAAATTTAACGGTGATATTGACGTGTCGAAGGTAATGTCATGTCATCAATGAAACAAGTTAAAAAATTTCACATCAATTTTTTAACGACGAATATCATATTGAAACTTAAACTAAACGTTAAATAAAATTAAAAAAAAACATAAAGTTTAAGTATCAAAATAGAACAATAGTATATGTACTAATGCAAGTTTACTAAATTTAATAGAGGCGTTATTTTAATGGATACTAAAACGGACCGTTTTAAGGTCTTTAAATTCTGATGTCAGCAACCGTACTACCAGTAAAGTAAAGAGTACCGATAACAAACAGTTCCACTCCTGAAGAATTGAAGAAATGGGTAATTTTTTTTCTCAGTTGCTTCTTAATTATTTTTTGAATTGATTTACCCCCCCCCCTTCTTATATGGGATTTTGATGATTTGAAGAAGCAAAAGAAGATGATACAAAGGAAGGAGTGGCATCAATAGCATTGTTGGCGGATGGGTCCCTTTCAGGTCATTTCGTTCAGCTTCCTCAATCTATCTGTTATGGACTTCACGGCACCGGTACTTCCTTTTTATTCGGTTATATTATCCTCGCTTCTTCCATTTTTGCTCTGCTTTTAACTTTTTAGTAAATTGTAAAAAATATAATCTGAGACTATGAACAATTTGTTGATAAGTTAAAGTATCTGCCTGTAAATTACTTTTTTGGTACTTTTATTTCTTTGGGTTTGTTTCATTTTTAATCCTTTATGTTTATTTTATGGTACTTGTTCGTTCGAATTGCGTTTCTTATCACTCCACACAAACTGTTCGTATTTTTTTTTATTAGTAACTTAAAAGTTGTGTTTATGCACTCTTTCTCACTGTATCTTTGATTTTCCATGATTGAAGAATTGGCTTGTGAGATGGAGTGCAGCAGAGGTGAAGATTACCGCTTGATAAAGCTCACAATCATAGACTACAATGTATGAATCTTATCCGTAAAAAAAATCTGCATCTATCTATTATTTCTAATTAGTATCAGTGTCTGACAGAAAAAGAAAGATCATACGGTTGTAGTGGAGTGCAGAGGGCATGATGCTGCTCGGTTCCATAACATCAACCATGCTCATGGGTAAGTCAATGTCAAAACACACTTCTTTAGCTCGTTAATTTCCTTCTTGAAGTGTACGTGTTGTCCAACATATGTTTGGATACAACCCTCAAAATATATGAAAAGATTTAGTAAAAATTGAGTATACATTTGTGGGATGCATACCCGAGCCGGACTTTTTCGGTTTCACCTGGAGTTGGAGTTGCATTCTCAGTTATTATGTTGCTCTCATTCTTTACTTTGAGTGATTGAAATCCTTGTTCGAGACAGTTGGGAACAGGATGTTGTGGATATGGTTGAACAAAAAGAAGTGAAGAAGAAGATTTCGATCTCGTTCGAGTGCGAGACACTGAAATCTGACAAAGCGGCTGAAGAACATATCAAGCAGTTCATGCCTAAATTATCCGGACTCGATGCTGTTGGTATGTGATCTAGCCTTTTCTTCCTTGTACCAAATGTTGGGAAACTCTTGTTCACAATGCTCTGCAAATCAGCTATCGAACCGTCTTAGATTCATGGCAACTTCAGTTTAACCTAAGCTAATTAAGTTCCCTTCGGAAATGCCGGGTAAGACCCTAACTTCCTACTTTCGAATCTTTGCAGTTAATATTGGACGGATGAGCATATCAGGAATTGACTTTGAAGCAGAAACTCCAGATCCGAAGCCGTATTTATCAACTGCTTGAGTTAGATTTACGTACAACAGAATATGAACATATGAAAACAATACAATCACCTATTCATTTAGATTCCCTTTTGTGACAGCTTGATGAGTGTATGCAACGATACTGCTTCGATAGAATCATCGACGTATGCAACGATACTGCTTCGATAGAATCATCGACGTATGCAACAATACTGCTTCATTAGAATCATCGGCTCTATTCGATATGCGTAAAAGAAACAACGATCAGATATCCTCTTCGTACGAGCCAACATAATATCATTACTTAACTACAGTATCTATTCGATACTGCTTCGTTGGAGTCACTTTATTAAATCTCTATACTATTTTTTATTTAAAAATTTTGCTTTTTAACTAATTTTTATTTAGTTTTTTCATTAATTATTAACCAAACAGTTATAACAAAGATAAAATATTTAGTTTTAAATTGGCTAATTATAATATTTATAGTATAAAAAATTAATTATATTGTTAACAATTTTATTAGAGCAAAGCACCATCAAAATGGAACACAAAGAAAGATACAAGTAAATGATTCGCATATTATATGATTCAAATCAATTCACATTACATATATGAAAAAGTATATCAAAGATCACACTACACACCAATTGTTAATGATCAAGTTCATCCTTCACTCACTCACAGTGTTTGTTGAAGCTTTTGCATCTTGCAGGGAGATGGAGATCACCGTTTCGAAGGCGCCAACTAAGGCCTTAACCTTACTTTTCTGTGTTTCCACAAGTTTATTCGCAGTTTCTTCGATCACTTTATTAAACAAACCCTTTCCCACCACTTCTTGCTGTCTTAAAACATCCTTTCCCTCACCATGTTCCTTGTCATTTGCCTCACCATCGAGTTCGGCATCGACTTGTCTCGTAAAGCTTCCATGGCCTTCACTGATACTGTTTTGGTTCTCCCCAAGTACACTTCCTTGCCTGAACTTGAGCTGCCATGGACCATTATTGTCTTCATTGTATGCTGAGTGCGAGTCATGATTGGCTTCGGTCAGGGTATACTCGGATTCATCTCGAACGGGTGGAGACACTTCAATGGTACAGTTTTCATTTTTATCAGAATCCAACATCACATTTTCCGTCTCCAGCTTGATAACATACAGCGTTTTCTCCTTAAGGGTGTCGAGTTGCTCGGTTTTAGCGCTTTCGACGACCTCGTTCCGATTCTTCTGTGGAACCACAACTTTTAAGTTCATGTTCTTCCTTGCAGTTAATCTTATAGCTCCTGAAAGAGAAGCTCTTCGGGACAATGAACCTCTGCTTAGACGTTCAGACAGGGCAGCAGGAAGAAGCTTTTCGACCCGAGATTTCGTATTCGAAGTAACAGGCCGTTTAGAAAAGCTTTTCTCATTAGCATTTAATGGAACTTTCTTTACATGTACTCTCCCGGAAGGTGATGATCCGTCGTGCTGCAACACTCTACCGGCATCAGATAGCTGTGATTTTAACCTGGGTGAAGATTTGGGCTTCATTTTGTCCTCAGACACTTTATGTATGGTAGAACCATTTCCAACCGGAGAGTTTGGTAAAGATTTGGATCTAATTGCTGATATCTTCTTCCTCTTTGAGCTATCAAACAAATTGGGGTCATCCAGTGGCTTTTTTATAATCCTCTTGGGTAAAGATTCAAGTTTCTTCCCTGGTATGCAGATATCATTAGAAGTACCTATTGAAGCTCTCCGGAAATGAGAAACAGATTTCTCTCTTCTGTTTGCAGAACCAGCTAACGAGGTTCTTCTCGGGTTACCACCATTAATCCCAGGTGTCATTGGTGAATTAAAACTCTCAGCAGCCATCAAATATGTAGCAAATAGGAAGAATACTTGGAACAGACAATCCTGAAACCCAGGCAAAACTCTGTCAAAACTAGTCGACTATACATGCATACATACATACATATACATGCATGTACGCAGAGTGCTAGATGTAAAGCATGGAAGAGAACTAACCAAACTCTATTCGGGTATTTGCTTCGAATTTGTGTACCTGATCAATAGTTAAAGATCATGAGGAACCAGTTTGTCGTAACCGGTTTTCGTCCGGGCACGAAATATTATAATTTGGCGGGGAAATTGATGTTAATAAATAATTTTGAAAATAATTTGTGAGTCGCCATCGACCTTTTGAATCAGGTAGGTCGAATACCTAAAAATTTTCTTTTAAAATAGTTTTTAAGAAAACCATATTTAAAAGATGAACTGATCTGCGTTTTATAACCAAAAATTCGTTCTTTTTAATAATAAAAAGGGATTCGTGGTCGGTTACGTTTAGGGAAGGATTAGCACCCCTACAACGCCCAAAATTGGTACTTTTTAATTATAAATTGTCTCTATTATTAAAATTTAAAATTCAGAAATATATTTAATTTATAATTCTATTATTTCAAAATTATAAAAAAATTTATTTATTTGAAAATATCCGAAAAGAACTTCTAGGTGCCTTAAGACAGCTCTTTTCTTTGATATTGATAAATATTAATTTAAATAATATTGTTTACTTTTTAATTTTAAAATATCAGAATAGGACATCCAGTTGTATTAAGACTGTCCTTTTCTTCGATATTAAAAATAAATATTTAAAAAATACTATTTATTATATGTATATATAAAAATATTTAACAGTATAATAACATAAAATTATCACTAAAATAATATATTTTAAGCAATAAAATGAAAACATGTAAAATAAATAACTAAATTATGAATAAAATAAAATTAAATTTAATTCCTAATTAATTGAAATTATAGGGATTAAATATTTTTTTTCTAATTTAATAATTTAATGACCAAAATAAAATTATCTAAAATTCAAATTTTATAATAAAATAAATTAAAAGTATGAACTAGGGACTAAAGAATTATTTATTAAAGTTAAGGGATTAAATCTATCATTTATCCTAAATATATTATTTTAATTAAAAAGACTAAAATGAATAAAATTAAAATTCAAAAACCGAATTAAAATTCTTATAAATTCAGTTTAGTGACCAAAATGTAAAGTTTACAAATATGAAGGACTGCGTACAGGGTTTAATTATTTCAAAATTACGCGTATAGTCCTTCCCAAAACGGCGTCGTTTGGGAAGGACTATAAAAGTCCAAATCGGCTGGCCCGAAGGGCCAGCCATTTCATTTCATTTCTTCCTTCTCTCTCTCTTCTCTGAGAGAGAGAAATTTCTCTCGCTTCTCTCTAACACAGAGAGAAGCCCAGCCGGCCGGCCGTCGTTAACCGGCGTTCATCTGCCGTCAACCACCGCCGCCGGCCACCGTCTTTGGTGGCCGGAAAATTTTTTCTTTCATCTAAGCGTAGATCGGACCGTCCTAATGACGGTTCCGACGTTTTTTCCCGTTAAACTGCTCCCAATCGGAGCAAATCTAAAATAATACCTTCGATGTTTCGAAGGTTCTGACGAGATCCGGTGGTCGACGCTTCCTCGGTAAGTCTCTTCTTCCTTTTTCCTTCTTTTTTCTTCTGATTCTTTGCTGCTGAGATCGTTGGTATAGTTTGTTGTTTTTTTTTCTCTGTTTTTTTTTTCTTCGGTTCTGTTTCTGTCTCTTCTTGCTGTCTCTCCTCTTTTTTTTTTCGCAGGTGGGTGGTGGCTTTTATAGCCACCACCGGTGTTCGTCTCGGACCGGTCCGAAGAGGGGGCTTCGGTGAGTCACCGGACTACCAGTGGTGACTCACCCCGTAGCCTTGGCGTGGACGGCCGGTGTTCTAGCTTCTGGAGTCTTCGGCTGGGACGTGGCAGCGGCGGAGGCGGTGAGGGCTGTCGGCAGCCGCGTGGAAGCTGGAGCGGCGCCGCGTGGCCCTAGGGTATCAAACCCTAGGGTTCCTCTCTGGAGCCATGTGGACCGTTGGATCGTGCCAGATCCAACGGCTGTGATGAGGCGGCTGAGGATGATTAGGGTTAGGAAACCCTAACTGGAAACCCAAATATTTAGGGTTTCCGGTTGGATTTGGACCGGTTTCATTTGGTTTTTAACTGGGCCGGTTGAATTGTAATTGGTTTATAATTTATATGTATTTAATATATTTAATAATAAAATAATAATAATAATAATAATAAAAATAATATTAATAATGACAATAATAATATTAATAATGATAATAATAATATTAATAATGATAATAATAATATTAATAATGATAATAATAATATTAATAATAATAATAATAAAATGAATAAAAAAATAGTATCTTCAGCTGCCCCTCTTTGCTCATTCTTGTGTTAACAAGAATAGGGCAAAGATGAAAAGATAATAAAATTTTTTTATCCATTTGACTTTACTTTGATTATTATGGAGATTTTGAATAAATTCTTCTTTTTCTCCAAATAAGCTCTTCTTATTATGAACTTTCTGCTGGGGATGATGATGACCTCCTTTTTGTGATAGAGTCATTCAAAAGGTTGAATAAGCTCTTGATGAGATCTTCTTATTATGAACTTTTTCTTCCTTCTTCAGATGAGTTCTTCTCATTATGAACTTTACCTGGTAATGTTGATCCATCAACTGATGAATTCAAGCAAAAGGTTGAACAAATTCTTCTCATTATGAACTTCTTCTTCCTTCTTCAGATGACGAGTTCTTCTCATTATGAACTCTTCCTCTGGAAATGATGATCCATCAATTTGATGAATTCAAGCAAAAGGTTGAACAAGTTCTTCTCATTATGAACTTCTTCTTCCTTCTTCAGATGACGAGTTCTTCTCATTATGAACTCTTCCTCTGGAAATGATGATCCATCAATTTGATGAATTCAAGCAAAAGGTTGAACAAGTTCTTCTCATTATGAACTTCTTCTTCCTTCTTCAGATGACGAGTTCTTCTCATTATGAACTCTTCCTCTGGAAATGATGATCCATCAATTTGATGAATTCAAGCAAAAGATTGAACAAGTTCTTCTCATTATGAACTCTTCCTCTTTCTTCAGATGACGAGTTCTTCTCATTATGAACTCTTCCTCTGGAAATGATGATCCATCAATTTGATGAATTCAAGCAAAAGGTTAAACAAGTTCTTCTCATTATGAACTTCTTCTTCCTTCTTCAGATGACGAGTTCTTCTCATTATGAACTCTTCCTCTGGAAATGATGATCCATCAATTTGATGAATTCAAGCAAAAGATTGAACAAGTTCTTCTCATTATGAACTTTTTCTTCCTTCTGCAGATGACGAGTTCTTCTCATTATGAACTCTTTCTCTGGAAAAGATTGATCCATCAAGTGATGGATTTAAATTTTTGCTAAAATCTTTGAAATTCCTGTTAAAAATTCAACATAGATGAAAATGAATGAAAATGCACCTATTTTTGTAAACACTTAAAATATGATGCATGAATGTTGAGTTATTTGATTTCAGATTGGTGAATTGAGTATTTCTTTAATTGTAAAAACCCAATAGATTTTTCTTCTTCAAATGAAAGAAATCTATCATCTTTGACAAATGTAGATATAATGTCACAAAAATCTCTTGAGAATAAAATTCAATAGTATAGGCTCTTGAAAAGCTTGCATTCAGGCAACATGTTGATTCTGATAACAACTCATCTGATTATGAAGTAACCTTTCAGGATGATTTCACAGATATCAATTGTTCTTCTAATACCGAGAAATCTTGAATTCTGATTCTGATGAGGAGAATAAACTGTTATACTTGACAAAAATGGGATTCTCAGATGCTAAAACTTCAATATCCATGTAGAAATGTATTCCAGATTCATCAATTGATATATGTGCTGCTCAAATGACTAAGGCTGCTGATGCACTTCTTCAGATCAAATAACTCAAAGAACGCTTCCAGAAGATGCTATTGGCAAATTCATCTTCCACATTCAATGCTTGATTCTATCTAATTAGATCAGATATCTCAAAGGACACTTCCAGAAAATGCTATGTTCTGTCCAACCAGATCAGATAACTCAAAGAACACTTCCAGAAGATGCTATGTTATGATCAACCAGATCAGATAACTCAAAGAACACTTCCAGAAGATGCTATGTTATGATCAACCAGATCAGATAACTCAAAGAACACTTCTAGAAGATGCTATGTTCTGTCCAACCAGATCAGATAACTCAAAGAACACTTCTAGAAGATGCTATGTTCTGTCCAACCAGATCAGATAACTCAAAGAACACTTCCAGAAGATGCTATGTTATGATCAACCAGATCAGATAACTCAAAGAACACTTCCAGAAGATGCTATGTTCTGATGCTTTTCCATTGACAAAGAAGTGATGGCCTTCATGGGATCCAAGAACAAAGTTGAACTTGTTTATAACTATGTACCAAAAAGTGCCAAATTGATAGAAAAGATTTGTAATGTTTTTGAAGCTTATGACAAAGAGCCACTTTCGAGTGTCCAGAAGTATGTTCTTGATGAGTGCTGAAAATGGAATCTAGTATGGGTTGGAAGGAATAAAGTTACTCCACTTGAACCTGATGAGGTGGAAATGCTTATAGGTT